ATAAATAAAATCTTTAAAAAAAAAAAAAGATTTAGTAGAATATGAACCTAATCAGCTCTTCCTAAACCCAATTCATTGTCTGGAACTTCCTAGTCCAAATACATCAAAAATCAAAGCATCCTCATCCAATATGGCCACGAAGTCTTAGTTTGGCCAGAGCACAAGCTCCCTGCCCTACAATATCCCACCAGCGCCTCCACACACCTGGTTGGAACAGCTGAAAGAAGATAATCATTTTCCCAGCTTTGATCAGAACAGAGTCATGAGATCCATGGTATTTTTAATGTCCCATTATCGAAGGCCCCTTTCTCTCAATGCAGGCTTCCGGAACACCCCCAGCAGCAAACCTCATGCAGAGGCCTGTTTATCCCCATTCGCCCCAGCAAATACTAAGATGTACTGAGTGCTTACTGTTCTAAACCATACATGGATTAAGTCTCTAAAACGACGCTCTAGGTAGCCAGAATTCTTGTTCGTCCCACTTTACAGATGGAAAAACTGAGACCCAGAGAGGTGAAACTTCCAAAAGTCATATAGCTAGTCAGAGATGGAGCCTGGACTTGAACCAAGCTCCTCAACTCTGGAACCCACACTCCTCGCAACCAACGTCTGGTCCTTCACCAAGAAGGGAACGCCATTCAAGGAGCCACAAAGCTCGTTTAGTCAGAGAATGGTTTCCAGCAACGCTGTGCGCAAGCCCTGTTTCCTACCTGAGCCACTGGGGAAAGTTTCCCAGCATCAGGATGGGGAAACTTAATCGAGAGAGAGAAAGAACATCGGAGCCACAGGATTCCTTCAGCGAATAAACTACACGTCCTGGTAACATACACTGAGTGACCCAGCGTTAATTACCCTCTGTCTCCTGGGACTCACAGCACCTACGTTTTTGGTTTAACCATAAAACCCCCAACCATCCTACAGCTTAGAGCCATTTAGACGAAATGAGTCGACCGGGTTCAAATCCACCTCCTCACACTGGCTATCTCTGTGACCTTACACAAATGATTTAACATCACTGAAACTTAACTTTTCTTGTCTATAAATGAGGAAACTAGCTCCCAAAACCCATACAGTCATTACAAGGATTAAAACAGGGCTACTGGGGCGCCCGGGTGGCTCAGTTGGTTAACCATCTGCCTTCGGCTCAGGTCATGATCTCGGTGTCCTGGGATAGAGCCCCCAAAGGGCTCCCTGCTCAGCGGGTAGCCTAGGTCTCCCTCTCCCTCTGCCCTTCCCCACACTGCTTGTACGAGCACGCAAGGGCAAGAGAGAGAAAAAGCATGTGTGATCTCTCATTCTCTCTCAAATAAAATCTTTTAAAAAAAAAAAAAAAAAGGCTACTTATCTCAAGTACTCAGAGAGCCTGACCGACCACAAACAGAAAGTCCCCGATTCATGACAATTCGAATTCAGATTTTTCAACTTTACTATAGTGCAAAATCTATATGCATTTGATATCAAATTTCGAATTGTAACCATTTCCCGGTGATGCGATCCTCCGTCATGATGCTGGGCAGCAATGAGCCCCTGCTGGCCACAGGGGTAAGAACTGAGGCACTGACAACCACCTCATTCCCATACAACCATTCTGTCACTTTCAATACAATATTCGATACATTATGTGAAATATGCAGCACTTTGTTATCAAACAGGCTTTATGTGACATGATTTCCGCAATGGTAGGCTAACTTAAGTGTTCTGAGCATGTTTAAGGCGGGCCAGGCTAAACTATGATGTTCCTTAGGTTAAGTGTAGTAAATGCACTTTCAACTTCAGATATTTTCAGCTTACAAGATTTATCGGGATGTAACCCCATCCAAAGTCCAGAAACATCTTGTGCATCGCATGGGGCTCCTTGCTCAGATGGGAGCCTGCTTCTCCCTCTGCCTGCCATTCCCCCTGCCTGTGCCTCTCTCCCTAATAAATAGACAAAATCCTTAAAAGAAAAAAAGTCCAGGAACATCTGTATTAGTTTCTTCTTCCTTTAACTCCCCCTCATTATATTTCAGGGAGCTCCGCACCACTCTGCTCCCAAAGTGTTTCCAAACACCCAGATTCCCCCCTTGATGTGGCTACTCTTAAAAATGCAAATTAAATATGAAAAGATATACACATATGCCTGGCTCTCCTGATAGAGGATCTGAATCTCAATCAGAGTCACTGTTTAGGAAATAAATTAGTTCCAAAGTGGCAAATTCTAAAAGGGAGTGTGTTCCTCCACTCCAACACCAAACAAATTTTGTTAACTGTCTGCACCACTCCCTCTGAACCCCATATTAACAGTACACCTCTATCCTGGTAATCATCACTTTTAAATAATTACCTGCATTTCTCTCTCATGCACTGAATCAGGGGTTCTCAACTACCATGGCACAGTAAAATCATACCGGGGGCTTTAAAAAATAAAAGATACCCAGGTCCCACCCCAGATTATTTCAAAGGTTTAACACAGGGGCAGAGATGGTAGTTGTTAAGGTCCCCAGGTGATTTCAACGCACAGCCAGCGTCAGGAGGCCTGTGCGAGTTTGAAAGGGCTTGGTTTTTTTGTCTTTTGGTTTTTTGTTT